GAGGCAGCTTGTTAACAGCATATCTGCTGTTAACAATTTCCCAAATATGGGATTAATATAGTACATTTTTTTTATGAGCTTGGGAGTATGAGTCACATACAGTTGGCTTCAAATAAACCCCCCCACCTCACATTTAAACAGTGATTCCCACACTCATAATACAGCTATAAACCAATGGAAAAACTCAAGGGTAAAATAAATCAGGAATAAGTTTAAGAAAAAAAGTTCTTCTCTGTTGTATTGAGTCATAAATTAATTTCTTCTTTTTTTTCATTCATGAATTTTCATTCATCATGTTTCCCAGGCTTGCACAGATCTCATTTCCCATCACAAGCAGCTGACCGTGGGTCTCCCCCCAGAGCCCAGGGAGAGAGTCATCACTGTGTGAGTTAAAAAAATAATAAAAATAAACATGTATTATTGCTCACATTAACCCTCAGTGTTTTATACTCAGGCCACTTCCACCAGAGGAGTTGACAAACCTCATCTACGAAGCAAGTGGTCAGGACATCAGCATCGCTGTGCTCACTCAGGTCAGAGGTCGTTACCTCAATCGGTTGTTGTTTAACGTCTGCACTAGTCGGCGACAATCACTGAGGCTAGTTGGTACAAAAAAGTGTTGTTGTGTGTGGAATGAAAGAGTGGAGCCGACCCGACCACAGCCTGGGTTTGACAGAGTTTGTGTGTTCTGATGGCTCACAGGAGATCATGGTCTATCTGGCCATGTACGTGCGCTCCCAGCCTGCTCTGTTTGGCGACATGCTGCGACTGAGGATAGGACTCATCATGCAGGTGATGGCCACTGAGCTGGCCCGCAGTCTGCACTGCTCTGGTAGGAGAAAAATGATTAACCACAATTCCCTGACCAATCCTCCACAAAAGAAACAAAATCCTCGTTTTTGTTCTTAGGGGAGGAGGCGTCGGAGAGTTTGATGAGCCTCAGTCCATATGGGATGAAGAGCCTCCTACATCACATCCTCAGTGGAAAGGAATTTGGCGTGGAGAGAAGTGGTGAGTTGTTTGCACTCAGTACTGTCTGATTGTGGTTTTGTTGCGATTATGTCCCCAGTGTGTACAGTTTAATTTCATATCTTTCATATGTAATTTAATGTAATCCAATATTTTACTGGATGAGTGGGTTGAATGTTGGCCAAACAGCGTCCTGTAGGAAATAAGTTCTGCATTGATTCATAGAATGGCTATGATTGGCCGATTGGCCAGATATGTAGTTCCAAAATGGGGGGTGCAGCGCTGTTCACCCAGTATAATGTATACAAATACGTGTTGATGTTTTCTCTGTTCATTAGTGCGGCCAGTTCAGTCCACGGCCACTAGTCCTGCAATCTCCATCCATGAGTTAGGACATTCTGGTGTCACCAAGACAGAACGTGCTGGGATACACAAACTGAAGAGTGAGATCAAACAGGTGAAGAACACATACTGTCCAAGTGTCTCAATATTTATCTTTCAACAGTCTAGGCAAGTTAGTGGATCAGTCGTGGGCCAATATAATCCCAATTTTTCACCTTAGCAAAAATAGCTATTTGATCAACTTGCATATTTCTTTTTTTTATATATGTGTCTGAAAGTTGGTTGGCAATATAATTGGCATATATAACTTTTCACCTTTGCAAAATGTAAATTAGTCAACTTGTAGATTTCTTTTTTATATATGTGTCTGAAAGTTGGTACTTTCATAAGTGCAAAGAAAACTATGTACCTTTGTTGAAAAGTCTGGACGATTTTATATTTGGTCAAATATGACTTTTTCTACAAAGATATTTCTTGTAATCTAATCTAATCTAATCTAAACCCAAAACTGTTAGCAGTTAGCCTGCTAAGTGGGACATTTCCCAGAATGTTGTTTGTATGAGTTCTTCACATTTGTTGGCCTAAATTTCTACAAAAGCTTTACTGAATGACAAAACTACAGATTTTGTTTTTCTTTGCATTTTTAAGAAGTATCAACAAAACACTTTTTTTTTTTTTTAGAGTTTTTTACTTTGGTTTTATGAAAAAAGCTTATTCATATTTTTACAATAATTTCAAAATCTGTTTCCAGCAGTTTCTCTCCTGGTTTTTTTGTTGTTGTTAAGCTTAAGGATGTCTGCGTGGCTTCATTATCGTCATGGCTGTCATGTGAATCATGTAACATGTTTCAAAATCTTTTTTGTCATCTGTTGTCCACATCCATGTGTAGATCGTCAGTGGTGGTGTTTCCCTAAGTAGCAATGTCACCTCTCCTCGCTCCACGGTAAATCATTTCCACCTCATCTGCTCCAATTTGTCACAGGCTCCCTGTGGTTAACACAAACTGAATTTATTCTTGTCCTGACTTACTCAGTAAAAGGCTTCACCTAGCCTTCTGTCAACTGCAGTATATCATATATATCATTTGCTATTACGATATGATGAATTTATAGAAATTGTATAGGTATTTTTTGTGTGCACGTTTTGCAGACATTAACACTGCAGTACAGCAATATTAAAGATGTTCTAACACTTTTTGTCTTTTCTCACAACACAGCGATGCAGCAGTCCATCCACTCCCAGTGGGATGTTGTCCCCAGTGGGTCCTGGGCCCACTGATGGACAACTGCAGTGGGAGGAAAGACAAGGCCAGTGGTTGAGGAGACGCAGGCTGGACGGTGCTATTAACAGAGTCCCAGTGGGTTTCTATCAGAAAGTCTGGAAGATCCTGCAGAAGTGCCATGGTCTGTCTATCGATGGATATGTGTTACCTTCTTCCACCACAAGAGAGGTTGGTGTGCTGGGGCTAAAAAAAACCCACATCTGTTTCTGATGTTTATTGAAAATATTTGTCGTTAAGTTGATAGGATTTACCATACTGTGATCGACCATATGGGCCTTTGTTTGTGTCCGTGATTTAAACTGTTCTTTTTGTAGATGACAGCAGGAGAGATCAAGTTTGCGGTGCAGGTGGAGTCTGTCCTCAACCACGTCCCACAGCCAGAGTACCGTCAGCTGATAGTAGAGACAGTGATGGTTCTGGGGTTAGTAGCTGATGTGGACGTGGACAGCATTGGTGGAATCATCTATGTTGACCGTATCTTGCATTTGGCCAATGACCTTTTTTTGAGCGAGCAAGTAAGACAGCTAGTGTTAAATCCTTTAATCATACCTTTAGTCATACTGCATATTTCCCTTCATATAATCTCTTACCTGACCCCTCCTTCTTTTTCCTCTGCGTTCTAAGAAATCCCACAATGCCAGTGATTACTTCCTGGAGAAAGATCCTGCAACTGGCATCTGCAATTTCTTCTATGACAGCGCCCCCAGTGGCAGCTATGGAACTATGACATATCTGTCCAAAGCAGTTATTACATATATTCAGGACTTCCTGCCGAGCTCCAGCTGCATAATGCAATAAAAAATCAATTAGGGTTAATCTTACTGCTTGTGAAAAAACTTGAGACACTTACTGAACAACAACAACAACTGAACAAAACAACTGAAGAAAACATCCTATTTATTTCACATACACATTTTGTGGTGCTTGTGTTATTGTGTTAGCAATAAAGTATTTACTTGTAAATACTTATGTTGAAGTACTTACAAAGGTCAGAGGTCATTATGACAACCTATGGCTAATCAGCATATCAAGACTAATTTTTAATTGTAAGACTCAAATTTTTACTAGAACATTTTATTTCGAAGCATGTCTACTGGAATCACTAAGATGCAAACAGATTTTAGATTTTTTCTGGTGTTAGTAGTATACATATATATATATATGTATATATATAATATAAACTGCCTGTCTATAAATGTGTACCATATTTCTTATATTTCTTGAATTATTTTTTTTAATTTAAGCCTTTTATTTTAGCTGGTTATGCTGTAGTAAGAATTGCTAATAAGTGATGTGTAATAATGTTACAATTGATATTTCACCTTTAAAGCCTGACCTGAAAATGTTGGAAATACAATAAAACACTATAAACAAGGAATGTTTATTTCTTAACATTAAAAAAAATCCCTAAAGGAAATGATGTACAAATAATCACTTTAACAGTCTTTAACACTTTGTGCTTTTGAGTCTTGAAGCATCCGTTAAAATTGATCAAAATAGGTAATCCATTATGATGTCTTGTCTTGTTCCATTTTCCTGCGCATGTGCAAACAGTATTCGGAAAGACTAGCAAAACAAACTTGTCAGCGCGATGTTTAAATGAGACCGATGTGTTTTAGAGGAGCCGAGAAAAAGGAAAGAACAACGGAATACGAACTTTTCTTTATTAAGGTTGTTTAACGTTTTCTCTTTGATTCCTATCGTTAAAAATCAATAGCAACCTAACATTTTAACCCACTGCTGTCGGTGTCAGCCCAGGATGGGTTGCGACGGAGAGTCAATGCTTCTGTCACAAGAATGTGAGTATAAAAACAGTCAAAATAGTGAACTCAATGAAATGATAATTATAATACTAATAATTTGCTCAAATAAAAGTAACTTCTCTACAGAGAAAAACATTAGTAGAAGTAAAATTATTTAATATTATCAGACGCCTTTTAACTACACTGTGTTTTTGTTTTGTATGTACATTTTGTACATGCGTATTTCTTATACTTTTTACACTGCTTAAACTTTTACTTTATATATAGGTGTTAAGAAATAACTTTACCTTGTTTGTTCCACTGGGGGTCACTGTAGGCCATTTAAAAAAATGGATATGGAGACAGGACGCCGGATTTTTGTGTCAAAAAGCTTGTGACAATGGTGAATACTTCTGCTACATGTGCTAACAATAATCTTTGGTGACTGTAACTTCAGGCATATAACTATAAAACGTGTGGTTACTGTGTGGTTGTAAAGCCTGAAGGATGTGCTTTGTTTATGTCATGTCACTGTGCTATGAGTGAGTGTTTCCTGGAATACTGCCGAGTAGCTTTTACTCGCTCCACGTCAAAATTATTCTTTTAATGACTTTACTTTATCATACATTGTCCAAGTCGCTCCACGTCAAAATTATTCTGACTTTACTTTATCATACATTGTCCAACCAAACATTACTGACACATACTGTGTTATGTTTCTTCTGATGTGTCAATACTGATGAGTATGTTTGCCATCAAATCTTGTGCAAATAATATTTTTTAACACTACTCCTCATCTATTTTCCACTTAAGTGTGGGTCCTTGCTGTCCAGTTTGTGCACCACTCTAAAGGCCTCCAGGAACTCAGTGAAGTCTATACTGCCATCTTTGTTGAAGTCGATACTTCGCGCCAAGTCATCGATGGCTCTGTCGTCGATATCAACACCCAGGTGGGCACTGAATAGACGCCAGGTTTGACGAAACTCCTCATTGGAGATCAGACCTGAACATTAAAAATAATTGAGTTTGAACATGCAATTTATTACATGGTGACATTTGTGTCTCAGAGAGGAAGTACCTGAATGGTCTTTGTCAATAATGTTGAATATTATCTCAATGTCAGTCCTGAATCTGAAGAGAGTTTCAGCCAAGTTTGGAGTGACCTTAAATACAAAGTAATGTTGGTCAGTAGAGGTCATAAGTCATAGATGTACAGATGTACCTAGCATGAACTTTTTTACTGTAATCATAACTAAATTACAAAAGTTAAATCTCTCTAGTAAGTTTGTCCAGGGATTTCTCTCTGACCTGAGGCAGAGAAACTCCTGTTCCCATGTCCTCAAAGCAGGAGTTATACTCCACACTGCCATCTGCTGCCAGACGGCACAGGTGTGGACGGAGTGTTCTCCAGGGCAAGTCCAGCCTTAGCACAGATTCCAGCACTTCAGCCCAGTCGCTGACTGATACAACTCCTAAAAAAACATATACACAACGTATATGTAACAGGAGGATCAAACCTTAGCTGTCAAACTGAGAGGAAAATGTCACCTGTGTTATTCTGGTCGAACTGCTGGAATCCTGACATTAACTCAGAGCGATGGGAAAACAGCTTTTCCTTCAAAGCCCTGAAAGCAGAGCTTTCAGCAGCTCGCACCCTGCAAATACAAAGGTGAACATTTACACTTACATTTCCATATGGCTGTGACATATCCACATTTCCACATGTACAATTTTTGACAGTTTTAATTTAGACTGAACTGTAACATAGTCTATGTCCCTTTTCTTTCAGCTGCCCTTAATGTTGTAAATCACATAAAATCTCAGTTTAGTTTTGACAAGAATTACATTAATTTTAGTCCACTAAATGTGTCCTTTTTCATGTCTATAAAATTGACAACTCATTTTGTAAAATCTTAATTTTACAAATTTCATTCTAAAAGGAAATTATATTTTGTATAAGTTATTTTATTATTGTTTACAGTGCTCTTTTAGCTTTACTTCTCGGGGAAAACTGTACCTTTGTGTGAGGGTGAGTTTGCGTGTAGTGCGGCTGACTTGGTATTGGTAAAATCTGGGAACTAGTTCTCTGCCCAGTTTGATGTAGGCGCCACGGTTGCTTCCCTCCTCATAATAGTTAGATGCAGAGAAAAGTGTGATCACCTGTGAAACAGACGTCACATGTGATCATCTACTTCTTCAAAGTCTAAATTATGACAATAAGCACACCCTGACGTCCACCTGTCCACCGTGACAGAGCTCGTATCCCTCCTGTTTGCACTCGTGGGATCTGATGAGCAGCTGCAGTCCGTGTTGCAGCAGCAGTTTCTGGGTGATGTCTGGGCCAAAGTAACAGCCTCCACCTCTGAAGGTGTTGGGGCTGCAACCTTCCTGGGTTTTAGGGTCACTCCACAAAATATCCACAATCTACAAAGGAAGGAAACCAGCTGCTGAGCATTCTGAAATTTTGAAATTTTGTCCAGAGAATCTGCTCCTCTGACCTGTTTCCACTCCCGTTCACGTCGTTGTGAAGGTGAGGGCTGACGAGCGGACAACAGAGAGTCCAGGAAAGGCATGTGTTGAATGTTGACAGTATTGGGCAGGCTAGGAGAAGGATGACAAGGGTGGGGCGATAGGCAGGATGGAGTTCTAGGAGAACAGAGTGAAGAGGATGAGGAGGATGAAGATGATGACGAGGAAGAAGCGGAGCTGTTGCTTTCTTGACGTCTGAGACCGCGTTGTGTGTTCCTTTAGAAAGAGGCAAAAAATGAATCCTGTCAAACTGTAATTCAAACTGTGCGTGGTATCTGTGCATTCATTGCTGTGATTGGTTGCTAACCTTTGGTTAGACCGTTTTTGGTTCTTGCTCTGATTGCGACTGCTGTTGCTGCTGGAATGAGAGCTGTTTCCCGATTTGAGTCTTTTTGTCTTTCTGTAGGACTGACTGATGTCCAGCTGCTCAAAACTGCACCTAGGAAACCGCAGCGCAGATTTGAGCTAAAAGAACAGAAAAAATAGACAAGGGAAACCAGAATAAACAAATAGTCTGTATTTATATACATACATTTTTAGGTATTTTCACTAAAACTTTGTGTGATGCAAGGTGGTTGATCTTTCCTTTTTCCTCTTTCCTTTCTTTAGTTGATAACTTTGACATTTTAAAGATAAATGCTTTACACCACCAACAGGACAGTTTCACAATGTCAAATACGCTGTTGGATTTCTCCTTCGCTCCCATTGGGGCTTATCAGTTTTGTTTCCTGTGTCCTTTTCTTCAGCATGTACATTTGTCCTAACAAGATCATGCAAACTCCATAGAAGAAGACCTCGAGTTACCATAGACTTAGTTACATTTCTGAATTTCAACCACAGTGACTAAATTGGATGTTTTTTGAAAAGAGAATTAGTGAAGGACAGTGTTTGACCTTGAGTTCTCCCTGACCTTGTGCCTCTCAATAGAGCTGAGAAAGTCCAGGTCGGTCTCGTCTGATATCCCTCCATGCACAATCAGGATCTTCCCATCAATGACTGTTGCCACTGGCAGGAGACTAAAAATGTCTTGAAACAGCGGTAGGATCTCATGACCATGAGTCTGTAGAAAGTTAAGAGAAAACATCAAGGTTATTTCAGACGTGATAGATACACATAGCAGAATTACATTGTGACGTGGCACTACTGTACCTTGTACTTCTGCATGACTTCCTTGGTGAATCCATATCTGAAATCATAGAAAGGTAACAGGACTGATTGCTTATAAATAATAAATAGTTCATATTATTGACTGTGATTGATATCTGTTTGCTGCAACTGGTCCACTTTTCTCTCGACCTGAGGTTCATTATGTGATCCTCATGGTTTCCCCGGTTCAGGTGTACATGGTCAGGATACAGCAGAAGAAAAGCAAAAAGGAGGATGATCACTTCAACTGACTTCTTCCCACGATCCACAAAATCCCCATTAAAGACATACGGAGTGTCAGCAGAGGGTAGACCATTCTGAACAACAGGAATATAAAGTAAAAATGTCAAACTAGCAGATTCAGCTTAAGTATTCGCTCAGATTACACAAGTTACAGCTGACTTGCTTTCCAAACAAACACCACCTTCATGTGCTTTCCTGCCACCTCTGATTCCTCATACAGTACCACAGTTTTGTTTGGCTCTTTATCATATCCTTCTTCTCGTATATTTTATACTATCAGTATGATTTTTTTTAATCCCATGACCCTTGTCTTCTTTTAAAGCTGGGTTATCTAACCTCAGAGTAGTTAGGCTCCCTCTTGTGGTACTCTGGAATATTTGATTCCTGTTACAATTTGGTGAAGTGAAGTTGTTAAGTCATTATGTGGTCTGTGTGTGTGTTTTGTTGAATTTATAGGTATTTTGTGCTACTTTGTTTTCCATTGTAGTTTCAGTTGATTTGCAACACTAGCTTTAGTTGATTTTAAGGACATTTTGAAATCAAGCCAGTGCAGTTGCCCTACTTCTGAACACCTGGGATAGAACAACCTGGATGATGGACAGCCTACATAGACACATTGTGGGAAAAAACACAAAAAAATGGTGTGAATAATGAAAAAAAAAATTTCACCTTGTAGAAAATAAGAAGCAAGTCGTCCAAACGCCCATGCAGGTCCCCTGCACCAAAGAAAGAATCATTTACCATCATAGCATATGAATCCTCTGGTGTGTGTGCTGTTTGTGTTGCGGTCATTAGTATACTGAAATGAGATGAGGAGCAAGTGGAAGAGGTGTGAAGTGGCTTATTAGTGTGCAAATACACACTGCCTCCTGTCTTGAAGGATACAGTTTACTGTTTTCACAATCACATTTACAAATGCAAACGATCGTTAAACCGATCATCAAGTCATTTAATTATTCAGTAACTCACTGTCCTGTGTGGATCAGGTGTCGTTGACTAAAGAGAACTGACGCTGCAGCCATGACTGAACTGTTTAACTGGCCTGAACACTCGTTCTCGCTTTGCACCACATTTGAAAGTTTAACAAACATCCCCCTCATTAAGATATGTTTGCTTTTTCACACTTTACGTGACGTCACTAATATCACACCTACACACTGCACGTCACCCGATCACCCACAGAGCTGTGCCGCATATAGAACATATTCATTGAAACCCAAATGAAAGAAGTATTGCCATGTTCAACTCACCACATATTGTTATGTCTTTAATGTAGGACGTTGACAGTTGGATGATGTTGGGCATTTGCTTTAGAAGTTTCTTGGTCTCATACAGCAGCTGAAGAAGGTATTTGGCATGAAGGGTCTGGATAGAAAAAAGGGTTGTTGTTTTTTTTAAAGCAGCCAAGACTGGATGAGAAAATGTTCGTGGTAATATGAAGAGGTTCTGTTACCTGTTGCTCTTTAAAAGCACAGAGCAGAGCATTGGTATCAGAGACTGAGAGCGGAAAAGATAAACGAGGCCCTGTGTACGAGTCTGGGACCAGGATCTGGCTGTAGCTGGACTCTCTGTCCAACCAGGGGTCGACCACTGGGTCCAGCAGCTGAGAGATCAGGTCTGAAGGTTGTAGTACAAGAGCTGTCAATATACTACGATAAGTAAAAAGTTCTTAAACGCACACGTCTCAACAGTTGTGACAAGTTATATCATTTTATCCTCTTCCAGCCTTGAGCTGTTACTTTTGCTGTTAAGGTTTTTTTGAGCCTTCAAAACTGAACAATTGTAAAAAAAAAAAAAAAAAAATTTAACCAAACTAATGATAACCTGTTATCTGAGAGAACGTTTGTTAGGAATTTGAATTTTAGTTCTTGGTTGAGACAAAGAAGCAGGTCGTGACCTGGTCTCAAAGACATCCCTGAGAATTCTACAAAGACAAAAAATTCTCAGGGATGGAAACTCGACTCTTTAAGGTGATTTTATGGAGGATATATGAAGAAATTACTTGTTATTATCAATTTGATTTGCCCTGGTACACATCCTATAACCAATGAAAATTTACAAATTAATTTGAATAATCACAACACTTTTCCAGTCCTTTATTTTTTGGAGTGTAAGAATAAAGAGTTTTGTGTTGATCAGTTCTTTCAAATACTAAAACAAATGTTGTTGTTACAACTTCAGATTAACATGTTGTGATCAGATCTTTACAGTTTATGTTTGGGAAGAATGAACAAGGCTTTACCGACTGAAGTGAAACCATATACTGAACACATTTTAATTTGTAAGTCCTTGTAATAAGAGGCTTAACACTACAGCACACATCCAGCTCGGCTCGACCTCACAGAGGAGATTAAAAACACTCCAATTTGCAAATGACAGCAGATGGCCTCTAATTTATGCACATCAAATGACACACACGTCTACTCACCGACCCACCTCTGTTTGTACCGTCGCTCTTTTGTCTAGTTCAACTGCAGGTTTTGGAAATGTCCTTTATTTTATCACACACAAACACTGATGTGTCAGTGTGGTTTCAACAAAAGACTTTTGAATTTAACGCTTCATATTTTTAAGGGCTTTTTAATCATTGCAAGGACAACTTTTATTTTAACGTTTTTTATCTTCATCTTTTGTTCATGTGTTGTCACGGTTTCAAGATTTATAGCAATACATATTTTCTTGACATATTTAGCTTTTTCATAAAATATGAGCAAACCTATTTAGCTTTTTATAATTTTTATTATTTACCAAAATTATAGCAGTTCTCTTATATAGTATTAGCTATTACGCTAACATTCAACATTAACTTTTTACAATGTTTAGGGCTCATGTTTTTATTTTGTATGTGTTTTGGCTAATTGCAAAAGTTTCCAGTCAACTTTTACATTTTACTTCTTGGTTTTAGTAGATTCAAACAAAATAGTTCAAATCAGTAATTATTTACGGTATCTATTTTTAAACAATGCCAACTAATGGCATGTTGAGCTTAACATTTTCTTACATTACCCAGACTATACTGCCACACCATTGGTCTTTGCAGTAAATATTTACGGTATCTATTTTTAAATAATGCCAACTAATGGCATGTTGAGTTTAACATTTTCTTACATTACCCAGACTAGGCTAACTTAAAAAAAGAAAACTCATAGGACTCCAGTTGGTGTATTGAGACACCCAGGCGTCAGTAACATGTAACGACCCCGTTGTCTGCAGACCGTATGGAGAGATGATGCAAATGGGCTGACCCAAAAATGTGGCTTATCAATGAAACATGATATTTTTAGTCTGAAAAGTGGGTCACTACACACACTTAGCCTGTAGCTGTGTCAGTGTCACACCAACACATAGGCCTCCACATCTACAGCAGTTGCTAAGTAACGGTGTATAGCAGTGGATTTCCTGATTCAGATCAGAACAAAGTGGAGAGTGGGAAGACTAACGCTGGTGTTAGTTTGATGTCTTAATATAAACTTGAATTTAAACAGGTGACATTTATGCATTAGATTATAACAGTTATCGAATTTGTGAAAAGGAAAAAAAAACCTGTTGCAAAGTATCAGCATATAAACAGACTTCCATTGAGGTTTTAGGTTGAAAAACTCAGTCTCGTCAAACTGTTGCAGCCAATAATTGTTCATGTGTGTGATTGTCACCTGACCAATGAAATTACAGGGACATCAGTGTGTTTCACAGTGGTCAGAGTATGATATACTGTACATGGCTTCTCATAACTTTTAGCTACATTTTCATAGGTGTGTAGTCATTACCATACATCCACCACCGTATCTTTGTGCATCTTTTTTTTTAAGTCTCGTTGTCATGGTATCACTTTTAAATAATCTGCTCTTGTTGTTGCTTTCCTCTATACCCTGGTTCACTGTTTGGAGTGTAAAGTTATTTGAAATGATGAGTATATTAAATATTAATTGTGAGTTTTTTGAATTTAGAATTATTACATCATAGACTTCAGTGTAACGCAGATGCACTGAATAAGTAACTGGTATTCTCTATAAAGCTAAAAAAAAAAGAAGCTAAATCTCAAATATAGGGTTTGTGAGCCCTGGGGTTGGACAGGGGTGGAAACAGGAAAATGGATGATGGGAAAAAAACATATTCTAACCTGGTCCATTTCCATTCAGCTGAGTGAAGTTGTCCAGCATAAAAGTGAAAAAACTGGAGAGCTTAAGAAAAAAGAGGAAAAAATGTGATATAAATATAAACAGTAGATGGCGACACATCTGAAATTTAATTTCTATGTTTAAGTTTTAAGGAAATGTTCAACATTTACCTGCAGCTGATCCTGCTCTCCAGCGTATTCAATAGACTGAAAGATGTTCCAGGTGTATCTGCGCCGCATCTCCAGACGGGCCATGTAACGCCGGTACCATTGTTGGATAAGAACAGCTGCCTTCATAGCTGTAACACCCACATCACCTGTTACATTGTGTTAGTGATTAGAGATGCACTTTAAAAAATAGTGGGTTTTAATTGTAATACTAGTGTACTATTGTATACTGTTGTAATACTAGTTTCATCCAAAAACAGAAAAACAGAACCAGTATAATATATATGTGTAATGTGTGTATATATATATATATATTATTTAATGATGAGAGAATCTTACTCAGAGCTGGATTGGTCGTCTTAACTACAGATTCATCTGTGAGACACATGAAAACAGCTGCTAATTTATTATATACACAAGTTAGAAACAGACATACGATTTCAATATTAATACATTTTAATTTCTCGTTGTCCTCCTGCTGTAATTAAAGCCTCTTCTCTCGTCAGAGTTTTAGAATATCCCTCCCTATTATTTTGACTTCACTTCTCTCCAATTAGTATGCAGCCCTTTTGTGGCCAGTCTGTTTACCCACAGGTGAAGTGAACATGCTGACACATGTTCAGCTCACACCGCTTTATTTTTCACACCTTTCCTTGGAGACCACAGGTCCAAATGTCAAACCTTTCCAGCTGACAGGACAAGAGAAAGACTAATCAGCCCTGGGTGAAATGAAGAGAGCTACCAGACCTTAAAACCACTGAGTATACAGTACAGTACAGTACGGTACAGTACCATCAGTCTTTTGTTGACCAGTCACACCTGTCTTTACTTTCTGTCCTTGTGTTTCTGTACCAACAGAAGTGCCACATCCCATGATGACCAGCAGTAAAGTCCAGGGCCCACATCACTTAGCGCATGGAAAACTGACATCAATGTGGACATGTGACCTACAAAAAAGAGACAAAAGCTATGAGAACACAGCACTGGTGCCTGAAATCTGAAAGTTATTTTGAGGTAATACTTGCTGCATATTATTAATATTTTAAATAGTAAGTCGTAGCTTGATCAAAAAACAAGCACATAGTTTTACTACAACTTAGTGGTTTTAAATAATGTGTAGATATTTACGGGTTTTTTATGGTGAGTCTACCATTACCATAACATATTTTGTGTCACAGCAGAAACTTTACATTTGAAAAATAATTTCAAATTACAATTTATTTACACAGTAAGAAACCTGAACCGTTTAGTTGAACGCAACGCTGATGTACTTGCAGCAATTGAAGAAAGACACTCAAAGCTCTGAATTTCTCACTTATTTAGTTTTTAAGCCACCTGCTGCCATCTTCTGGAAGTGTATTTGATTTGATTTGTCTGTCTGCCGCTGTTACAAAGGGAAACAGAGAAAATGGTCTGACATAGACTTTAAAAATAAAGCAAAGAAAAAAAAAAGAGGCAGATCTGTAAAGTGTGAAGCTGAGCTTGAAAATCTTTCTTTTAAAATGTCATAATAAACTGTAAGAGTGCAATAAAAGCCACTAGAATATGATATTATATTCACTGCCTTCTCAATTTTCGAACACAGCCATGTCTGTTTTGACAAAACCAAAGAGAAACGAAGCACAAAGAGGAACAGCTTCCCCTTAGCCATCTTACATTTATACAGCACCTGTTGTCGTGTCTGTCCATATACAAGTGTTTTCACCTTAGGCTTCACTTTAAGGCAAATGAGTCTTTGATAAAATAATGAATAGTTCCTACCTTTTGCCTGAATCCAGGACAAACAAATGATGTGGAGACAAAAACAGAGACGGACTACGTTGCATGTCCTCCAGTGTCTTTAAAGATCTGAGCAGGGGTGATGGAGCAGTGAAGTGTTTGTCACAGGAGGAGAGAGAGAGAAGAGGGAGGAGGAGGAGGAGGAGGAGAGATGTCTCCCAGGTAACTGTCACTGTGACACAACTTCATGTTGAACTGACAGGCCCAGGATTCCACTGTCACTCAGTGTTTGTCACGCAAAAGGTGTCAATGTCAAATGTACTTCTTAGTTGTTGTTGTTTTACAGAAGGGTTCTAATTTTTTGGATATTTGGGTTTTTTTAGCTTTTTATATATATTATTATTAAATATTGTAGCAAAATGTCCTGTTAACATTTAAATTATTTGCTAAATAAGGGAATTCCAAAGAAAGTCTTCAGTACTTTAGTAAAAATACTTTAGTAAAGATAGTGTGTTCTGCTGACAGTAAGCTTCCAAACAGCGTTAAGAGATACACAAGTATTTATTAATCGACAGGTTTTAGAATAAATATCAGAATAAAAAGTTCAAAGTACAGTGTTTTTAAAAATCTCTCAGTTCCATGTTTGTCACGCGGCAGCTCTGGTGTGAATCCTCTGGTGTAGGAGTGTGACAGCAGCAGTGATCTCCTGCACAGTGATCACCTTCATTCTGTTGCTTCTGGACAGACGTGAGGCCTCAGAGCTCACCAGTCTGAGCAGAACCAGTCTGGGAATACTGGACCGAGTGGTCAGCAAATCTGGACCTTGAGTACCTGCTGGACGGAGCTGGACAGGGTGAGACAAAGGGTGATGGAAAGATTAAAACATTACAAAGTTTTTTTTAGTTATTGCCAAATGCACTGCAGCAGATCAGAGGAGCATGATTTTAGTTTCAAACAGTTCATTGCAGCATGATTTTAGTTTCAAACAGTTCATCTTCACATTTGTTCTCATGTTTCTCTGACCTCTTTACAGGTTCTGTAGATGAGAGAAGCGTGAGCGTGAATCCTCTTCTTCGGTTTTTGTGAAACTCTCTTTGCTGCTCGGACGGGAGCCTTCATTTTTGTCAACTTGTCGGAAGAAGTAAAGGATAAAATGAGAGCGGTGTTTTTCAAAAGAACACCAGTGACGAGAGCAGGACAGAGAAGAGTGTGTGAGGAGTAAGACAGGTGTTCCATGGAGCGGTGATTGACAGCAGCTGGGCCCAATTAGAACTAATAACCTTCAACACTCAGACTTTACCATGAGTTCATCAACATCTGCTGTTCAAGCTACAATGGAGAAAAGGTACCGTTATTAATATTTACAGCAGCTGGTTTTTGGGATATATGTTTATGTTTTACAATAACAGTATTCAAATGTAAAAGCTATTCAAATCATGTGAATATATAGTATAATATTGTATACGTTTTGTGGGCAGCACAGTGGCAGGGCGGTCAGTGCTGTTGCCTTAAAGTAAAAGTCAAAGGTTTCTAGGAATTTCAAAAGAAAGCTTATAACCAAATGCTGTGATTGACTTAATTTTCTAGTGCACTGATTCCCAACCACTGTGCTCAGTGCAGCTACTACTGTCTCCAGGTGCTGTCGTCCTGCACAAAAACATTCAGGATGAGGTCATTTGTTCCCTCTAAATTTACCATAGGAGTCTATGTGAGCGTGGATGGTTGTTGGCTTCTGTACGTGGCCTGGACTGGGACTGTGGGACCGTGGGACCATGGCAGGATTTCCAACTGCAATTCAGAAGGTTATTGGATTGATGCCACCTTTGTCCTAAATCCCAGGCTCATCATCGTCATAAAAACTCAGTCATTCTGTTGACACTGCTGTGGAGACACCTGCTGAAGGGATTAGCCAAAAGTGAAAAATAAATAACTGAAAAACAAACCAAAGCTACTTGGTTCTGTGTCATTGAACTTTTCAGTATTATATTTAAATTGTTCTTGAATGAACTAAAAAAGCGTGAGTCTGTGCAGGAACACCATCAATCAATCACTGAGGTTGAGATATGAATTCAAACAAAGAGACCTGCCTGAAACTGACTAAAAATAAACCCCACTGACTGTTGGCTCCATTCAGTGAAAAGTAATATCAAAACCTCCAAAACGCCAAATATAATCTCCATAAATACTAAAAAATACTGATTCACCTTTCTTTGTATAAACGTCCAGAAAGTCTGAGCTGTTTTATACGACCATCAATTCTCACCGTGCAGTTATGGAGCTTATTCAGGCAGCGAGTGACCTTTTGGTGGATCACATGCATCAGCAGGCCCTGCATGTGCCTTCACCACCTTCTGACCAATCTTTCCTCTCACTCAGACTCAAATCTGTCACACATCCAAGCGCAGTAGTCACTTATGGTTTTTTGTGGGTTTTTTTTTTCCCTCCTGACCCTGGTTGGTGAACAGTTATGTCCATACACTATGATGATGATGGTGGTGGTGTTGGTGTTGTTGGTGGATTAACAGCTGCAGGAGGAGCTTTGTCAGATGAGGATAGCGTTAGGTAAGGCCATTAGTGTCCTGTGGATTATTGTAATCCAGCCTCTCCATCACTTCTGGTTTGGTTGCTCAGGGCACAGTCTCTCATCAGGATTAGAACAGGTTGAAAGATGGCTCTCAACGTGCAGCCTTTTCTGCTGACTCTGCTTCTCCTCAGTGTTAATGGTATGATTTCAGTATTTGTTGAGTTTTCTTTTTTTTTCATAATCTTAACTCTAATTGTTTGCTTTTAATATTTGTGTTTTGATTGTAGGAACATTTCTCATCCTAACATTGTTTACTTCCTTTTTTTCGTCTTTGTCTTCATTAACCTCCTGGACTGTGCTTTATATCCTTATCTGCTTGGACAGTTTTCATCAGCTGTTCTGCTGAGGAGGTACGGTTATCTTCAGATTATTTTTGAAGTAATTGACAATGCTCCTAAAAAGTAAAAAAAAATGCAAATCTGCTCTTATCAAAAATATTTGACATGTACTGTAGAAATATTTGGATGACATTTTAACAAGTGTTTTGTCTGTGTTTGAGGACGGTGTGACCGAGGCCTGGCCCAGGTCTTGCAAATGTGAATGTGAAGGATTGGAAACTCCAACTGAGTTTTCTACTCTGGCTCCTGGTTCGTCCATGGTACGAGGACTGGACTGCATGCCAGGTAATGAACTCACCTTTAAACTTCTCAACTAAATAAAGTGCTCGTAAAAATTAAGGAAATACAAGGGTGGAAATTAGAGAAACTAAACAAATATATTTTTCCAGCTATTATTTTGATGTTTAAACAAAATAAATAAATATATTTTTCCATCTATTATTTTGATGTGATTTATGAATTTCAAGGAATATGTTTGCCATATTCAATTGTATCTCACAATTTATCATATATGTGTATATATTAATATATATCTATATACATATAGATATGTATGTATCTATATTGTTGTACGTGTACTTATGTGTATACACTGCATATATATATATACACACGTGTTTTTACTCTAAGATTATGTGAATTTTATGAATTTTAATATTTCTGCTCACTATTTATTATATATGTGTATATATCTATATACATATGTGTATGTATCTATATTGTTGTACGTGTACGTATGTGTATATACTGCACATACATATATACACATATGTATGTTAACTCTAGGATAGTGTGAATTTTATGAATTTTAATATTTCTTGAAATATTACCAATATTGAAGTATTGTCTCGACCAATAAAAATATTAATAAATAATAGTTTTATAATATAAAACAAAGGCGTCTTGTTATGTAATCTCCTGTCATTTTCTGGTCACATTTCTTTTTTCAATATAACATTAGCTAAATGTAAGCCAAATAAATACACTTTTGAGAACAAATATTTTCCATATTTTCCACTCTCTCTCTCACCCCGTGATTGATTAAATGCTGGTAATTGACAAACGTAATAAATAATAAATGGATCCAACATTTAATGTGTGCTGGACAGGCACAAAAACAGAAGGAGGATCTCTGCACGTATGAGAGCGTCGCCCTCCACATCAGACACCACAGGGTGGTCATGCTCTGGTGGACGTACTTAGGGAAGGTGGTTGCAGAAGGAGCCATAAAAGAAAAAGAACGCCTCCGTTAATACGACACAATCTTCCAGTTTTACTGCCTGAAGTAGTTTCCAACAAATGTGCTCGTCTACAGGGCTCTGTAGAAAATCTCAGTCTGGTATATTCTGCCACTTTGCACAATTTACAAACATTTTTATTTCACTAGGTTTTTTTTGTAAAGGGTAATTAATTTTACCATGAATTCTTAATACTTTTCTTCTTCCTTTTCTTTCTTCCTTCATTCTTTAATTATCCCACAGGGACAAATTGAATTGTTTGAATTGAGTTGAAAAATGAAACACTCTTTGTCTTCCCCTTCGCGTGGCTGTGGCCTTAGGGGTCAGTCGTCTTCAATCCGGTTCCTAAACAGATGTGAATGAAGTCTAATGTAAAGTGAAGTAGTTTCCCTCATGAATCTGAACCCATGTCAACACAGCCACAAATGACATGGTAACCAGAGATGGAGAGGAGAGATAAAATGAGCAGATATTCATTATCTGAGGACATGATGCCCAGATTACAGGGCTGGTAATAGAGTGTGCCAATCGCACAATCACACTAACCAGTAATTACCACCACATGGACCACATAGTGATGAGAAATGAGAAGAGAAGCACAGGAGCTGTAGGTTTCTAGTATGAAATGTAGTAAATTGTAGGAAATGTAGGAAATTATTCAAATATCAGAAATACAGATTAAGAAATTATTCAAATATCAGAAATACAGAGATTTGAACAAAGACCAGATTTTTTTATTTAGTGCGACCTGCAGTAGGTGCAGAAACAAAAACCAATCTATCATCATCATACTGTATGTTTTTTATATTACATGGATAGAATTTTCTAGATGTTGACGTCTGAAAATCACCATGTTTAAATCAGCCAATATTTCACTGCTGCTGTCATCTAATTTACCTTACTCAACTTAAAAAAAAATCTTTTTATGTCTTTCTTCCGTTCCTGTGAGTTTCACAGCATTGTATTCAGCTAAACAGGTCCAAGTTTCATACTGAGTAAACTGTAGCTAAATTAAAATTTAAAAATTAGATTTTATTTATTTTTAAACTAAAAAATATCATACATGTATACTGTACCATAACTTAGATTAATAATTATGATTCATCTAAGCATCGACATTTAAATGAAGATTATTTTTCATTTTCTATGTCTAAGTATACCGAGTTATGTAGCACTGATTCTGTGCTTTTATATGTTGGTTACCAGCTGTAAACCTTTTTCAACCTTTTTTTTTAACCTGTATAAGAACCTGTATATATCTACCTATTGTTTATTTTCGTCCATGGTGCGTACTGTACATTCAGTAGTAACATTCAGAGCCAAACTTGAACACAGTCCTGTTGGTCAGAGACTTGTTAACATTGCTATTTATTTGGCCAGGCTGACATTACTGTCATCTAACCGTGTATCACTGGGCTGCTGTAATACCAGGATTAGGACGGATGTGACCCTGGGCCAGAGGGCTGTGAGCCAGTTGGATATAACAGGCTACTCCACTAACAGCCGATGTTTTTATATCTCCAGTTTAAAAGGCTGAAAAAAAAAATCCCTCCATGTGCAGCTCTTACATCTGCTTCTGGTCTGCTCCACAAATTCAGAAAAACACTTGCTATAATGTGTTTTAATAGATGTGATGGGAGATAAAGAGGTCGAAATGTAATGTAAATATTATGAGCACAACATGGAGCTTAAGCAGAGGAGAGGAGAACACGACCATCTGTGCTCCTCCTGTCCTAATGGACACCACTGATCTCCTGCTACGGAGAATTGAAGCACAGGCTTTTAGACTGGGACGTGGGTCAGAGTGGAGCTGCTGACAGTGGGATGGTATGAAATGGCTGTTGATAAAAGTGTAAATGAGCTGGGCGGGGGGGGGGGGGGGTTACACAAGTGTCAGCACTAAGTAATCGTCTTTAAGATCAAGGGATCGTTAAGTGAATATTTACAAAATAATGGTGCAAGGATTTTTTTTTTGTTTTGTGCAGAGGTGATCTATCACAAGCCTCTGGGCTTTGAGGCAGGATCAGTAGGTCCTGACCAGATCACCTGCTCTAACATGGAGCAGTACACCGGCTGGTTTTCCTCTTGGCTTCCCAACAAGGCCAGACTAAACTCCCAAGGTTTTGGGTAGGTACAGATCAACCTGAAGACAATTCAGTTCTTTAATATACGATGGCTTTTTATCTTAAATGTTGTGACAAAGACATGGACTGGAGTGGAACACGAGTAGAGCTCCACCCGCTCTATATGAGGTTTTCAGAATGGGAATGTTGTGTCAAAATTCCAGCTACTGTGGAGACTCTTGATGAAATGACAAACTGGGACATGGTAGTTTCCTAAATTTCATGTGATCAGGACGTTTGTCCCTCAGGTGTGCCTGGCTGTCTAAGTTCCAGGACAGTAATCAGTGGCTGCAGATCGACCTTCGTGAAGTGATGGTGGTGTCAGGGATTCTCACCCAGGGCCGCTGTGATGGTGACGAGTGGATCACCAAGTACAGTATTCAGTACCGCACTGATGAGAAGCTCAACTGGATCTACTACAAAGACCAGACTGGAAACAACCGGGTAAGTTACAAATATAAAATGACGCAGTAAAACATCATCTTTGGGTTTGACTGTTTTATGTCCGTCCTATATTTTAGTACCTGAATTCACTTATTTTCCTAACGTTGTGGATGGATGAATAGATGTAACTGGTCGTTTCACCAGCAGTGAACTCAGGAATGACATTTGATTGTGTTTTGGTCCTGAACAGAATTCTGAAGCTAAAATGTTTGTCCAAAATAGTGGATTTTTTTTGCTGTTTATTTATGTTTAGATTTTGAGTACGTTATTCACTATGCAATAAACCTGGGGGCTTAAGTCAGTCCTCGGAGACCAGACTCAAACCCCCCACCATCACAAACTGCTGCCAACTTGTTGAACAGCGAATAGATTCCTTTCGTCTCAGCCACAAATCACAGAAACGGCCTGTTGTGATCTGTCACCGTTTGACAGCTTTAATATTTGTATTAACTTTTTGTAAATACAGGGTATAATATTTCCTTTATTTGAATTGTTGTTCAGACTTTATTATTTTGAAGTTGCAGATCAATTTACTTTTTTCTCTAATTAACAAAACTCTGGAACTGGCATTTCTCTCCTCAGGTGTTTTACGGGAACTCTGACCGCTCCTCGTCTGTCCAGAACCTTCTGCGTCCACCTATAGTTGCGCGCTACATCCGTATCCTCCCTCTGGGATGGCACACACGCATTGCCCTGCGTCTGGAGCTCCTGCTCTGCATGAACAGATGCAGCTGAGAGTTCCACTGTGGTTGTTCCCAAGTCCTTGTCCTGAGATCTCTGACCATACCACGCTTCATGGTTCGAGTGTGGAACCTTGTCTTCTGTCCACACGTCTGTCCCTTTGTTCATCTACTTGTTGGAAAAAAAACCCCACCATTTGTGACGGTAACATTGTTCAGTATAAAACCTTTGAAAATAAACTATTCCATCTAGACATCTGTTTGATGTGTTCACTTAGCTTCTATTCTCTCCACGCTCCATTGTTTCCATTTAACCACTTTCTCCGTTTGGCTCCATTTTCAATGAAATGGCATAAATTCAAAGCAATAATTAGGCGTGAAGAGGAAAAGACAGCGTTGCCATGGCGGCTGTGTAAACATGTCTGCGCCCAGACCTGACAACAATTTCCTTTCTGACAAGTCAATAGTTTTCTCTCAACTTCTGCTTATTAATAACGTTTTACAAGAAACTCGTGTTTTCCTGAAAATATCAAAATGTTTTCATGGCATTAATGAACCTCAAGCAAAGATCAAAACCGTCGTGGAATTGATGCCAACAACAAAAACATTCTGTGATGTGTTCTCCCAAACATTTTAGTTTGAAGTGGAAAAATTATTCATCTCTTAATTGATTACGGAGCTCTGTGTGTGAGTGATGTTTGCCACCGTCTTCAGCTGTTTGAGCTGTTTATTTGATCTCTTTCAAATGAAAATATGTCATTTCTCAAAAACCTTTCATCCCGTGCAAATGTATGGTGTCTGGGCTGAGCGCCAGAGTCTGAAAACGAACAGAAAGAATCAAGACGAGGTTTATTCGGTTGCTTTCACTGGATTTGTTGATAATTAGAAAAATAAATATCAATAATTCCCAGTCATTTTCCTAAAGTACTCCAGTCAGACTGGCATACTTTAATATAGAAATATAGAGGATGAAAATTCATATTCATCATACATACATATAAAAATAATAAGTTGTGTATATTACTGTGAAATACATGTGGAAATTTTAATTTTTTTAACAAATTTTCCTGTCTGATGCTACACCATTTGGTGTTCACATTTTTTTTTTGTGTGAAAGCCATGTTTAAAAATAGCTTCTTCTCGGTTGGATGTGATTGACTGGAGGATAAATGTGAAGTGTTGACTCAGTGAGCTAAAGTAAGCTTAGTCATCACTCACACCCAACAAGGACATAATCAAATCCAATGTCAATCAGGATTTCCATACAGCACCCTATTGGATTTGTCCTGGTTTGTGTTTAATGACCGTTTTTTCATGACTAAGAATGTTATTTTTTACCTATATTGTCTCAATTTCCTGCTCTAATCAACTCCTGACTAACTGTTACTATATTTAGCTCTAATTCTACCAGCCACTTATTTGGTAATCTGAGTTAATCTCCTTGCTGTCAATCAGTAATCACTTGCATGTATGTGCAAGAGTATGTAGTGTGTCTGTATACCTGTTGTAGGTGACTTGTTGGGACATTTTAAAAATAAGACGGTAGACTACTGTCATTGTAGGGACACCGTTGTCATGGGGACATTTTGCTGGTCCCAAATGTGTAAGAGGGCATTTTGACATTCAGTATTTGGTTTGGAGTTAGGATTAGAGTATATGTCGTATTGGAGTCTACGACCTCCAGGTGGTCCCCAGAGGTACTGCAGGGAGTTGTACAATGTTTTGGTTCATTACACATTTTTATATTTTGCACATTTTTAAAATTTAAAAACAATGTATATATAAATCTGTGTATTATCTGAATAGTTTAATATAAAAAAGTGTTTATAGATGAAGGTTGAAATATAATTTCATGCAATATATGTATATGATTTTTGCTATGCAGATGTTTGCTGGAGAACTGAGTTACAAAAAGGCACTGACAAAAACTTTAATTAACACAATTTTTTTAAAAATGAAAACAGAAAATATACTGTAAACAAACATCAAATGACAAGTCAGATGATTTCTCTTGTTTTTTCAACAAAATCCCCTTAAAAAGGCATTCAAAAGTTTGCAACATCTGAAGGTTTTATATCCATCAGCTCATCATAGTTGTTGTGGACCAACGTAAAAACGTTGTCGCACTAACAGGGCAGCCTCAGGAGAGAAGAACGGCCGAAGTGTGCGTTCACAGTAAAGCATTCGTAAAATGATTACATATTCATTTCTGCCAACTCTAAATGAATGTGAAGTCATTTCACTAAATTGATACACAGTGAAATTTCAAACCAAAATCAACCAGTGGTGGAATAAGTACTTTAACGTTAAATACTTGTACCGTACGCAAGTATTTCATGACGTTTATTGTTCCTATTCTATTATTACATCGCTAAGAAAGGAGTTATTTATTCACATCAAGATTCTATTTTAAAACCTTTGACTTCTGTTGCCGGTGTAGCAGGAAAGTACAGTACACGAGGCAGATGCAGATTATTTGCTGCAAGAGAGTAGTGAAGAGTGAAGTGGTGAAGAGTACTGGGCTAGAGATACATCAGGGTTCAGTACTAGTTTCCCTTTTTTCTGCAGTGGTGAAAGCAAATGTGAGCTGTGTTGTTTATTTCACCAAATGTATATATATATTTATTTCATAATTGAACACATTTGAAATTAAAATTTTTAAACAAACTTGAAAGCGAACCTTTGAAATAATTGCAACAAGTTTTGATAAAATTCTTCTCTTGATATTTTTCATACCTCAACACTAAAAGAATGTTTAAAAATAACTAATTCTTAGCCCTTCGAGAAGCAGCCCCCCAACCCCCAATTTTTCTTAAAGCTTTTACTTACTCAACATGGAGGATGAGATTCATGGACTTTGTAAAGGACATGTCTTTTTTTAGCAGTTGGAGTCAAGGAATCAAATGGATGGTAGCAGATAATTCCATATAGAGATCCTTTAATTGAGCAACGCAAACGTCATTTACAAGATTCTTCCTTATTTTAGGATATTGTTAAAGACTTGCAAAAAATGCATGTTCTTTAAAAGTGAAATATTAGTAGCCTAGTTTAATTTAGCTTCATGTTTAGAAACCAAGGTTCATTTGACAAATTTAATAGAAATGGCAATAGGAGTAATGTGTCATAATTATTTGTTTAAAATTGAACTTTTAATTAAACAAACCTCAGTACTTTTTCCACCACTGTCACAACATCAGAGTCTCTGCTTCCCTGTGACTTTAGAATATTTTTACCACAGATACTCTACAAATACTGTTTTCCCCTTTTTTAACGTCCAAACGTTACGACTTTAATAATAGGAGGATATAAAGAATGTTGACATTCTTGTTCATTTTAAGTCTTAATTTTAAGAATGAAGTGCACTTCATTCTCTTCTTTTGATTGGTTGGTTAATCTTATTTATGTATGTCAATCTGATGAGAACTTATATTCATATTGATTTATATTCCATACCAGATGTATCTGATATCTTTAGATTTCTTATGGAACTTAAAAATAGAGGAAGAAAGGACTAAAGCTACCTCAAATTCTAGGATTTCTTATCTTAAAACACTTAAGGAAACTGACTGTTTTTGTTTGTTTTGTTGTATTTTTTACTGTGGACTCTGTGGTAACCAAGTAAATAAGGATGGGATTAACCTTCTCAACATAGGACACCAAGATTTAGGAATGACTTTCAATTTTAAGTTAAAAGTGTGGAGTTTTTTTTACAGTTTTACTGTGGCGTTCTGGAGCCAAACTCTGTTCAGGCTGAAGGCTGATGTAGGCGTGGCATTTTGGCATCGTTGTCCACTTATCTAGCCCACACATACAGTATAGGGTGAGCCATTTTATGTTAATTTAAACTATTATAGCAATGCTGCGTCCAGCCTGTGGACCAAATCTGGCCAACAGTGCCATCATTCTGTTAGCTTTGTGGGCTAAGTAAAACTGTCATGTGAGCAAAAAAGGCCAGATATACAGTAGCCCACAACGATGTCGCTTACTTGAAGTTGACAACACAATCTTTATTTGTTAGTGTAAATCATCTAAAGAGCGAGACAGATATGGGATGTCCGCAGGTTCCATGTGGGCCACAAATGAATTGCCCCTATATGGGCACAGGGTAAATTTTCCTAGTTTAAACTCACTGTTCCCAACACCAGAACTATCCTAAGGCTGATTTGCAGATTTTTTTTTCACACTTTTGGCAACATTTACTTATTTATCAATATTTTTCTTTTACATTTTGATGAAAAACATAAAAATGGGTAAAAATAATCATAATATTATTCATAATAAAATCATTTACATATCAAATTTAACAAAAATTGACATTCACCATTATTACATACTCTCTGTGACATATTGTATTATCAACACATAGTAAATATCTATGCATTTCTCTGTCGAAACTAAAGCTCTCGCAGTTACTCGTTAAATTCTACATTACCTTATAGTTTTTCCATATAATCTACATACTGTGTCATTTATAGCTTATATCCTTAGAATTTAAAAGAAATAAATATTCAATAAATAATATTGATATAAATATCTTTGTTCATATCAAACATCAGAGCTTGAAAAACATTTGAAGTTCATCGGCCAAGTTTTGCGTGACTGTGGCTCTCGGATGTTTTTCTGTCCTGTGAGCAGACGATGGCAGCAGAGAGGCCATGTGGGCAGTGTCTTTATGACAGAAAAGATCAGCTTATCGTCATGTTCCAACCTAAAGTAAAGAGACAATTGATGTTGGAGTCCCTTCTGGGACTTGAACCTTTCACTGCCTCCTAAACAACACTGTTGTTGCAGTTGTGTTGTTGTTGTTGTTGTTGTTGTTTTTTCTTTTTTGTCCCCAACAGCTTTCAGTCTTTGTAGGTTTGCATCAGTAGGTTAGGTTACTGAAACGAGGACTTGATCCAGTGAAGTAACATGTAAACTTTTAATCAGTACAACTAGTCTGCATCAGCGAGTGCGTTCAAGACACAGTCGTTCAGAGGTCGTGTGGTTCTGAGTGGGTTTTAGAGGGCAGTCTCCTTCAGGTCGTTCAGGTTTGGCATCCTGGTACGTGATGCTCTGGTAAATGTTGGTCCGTTCTGTCCTGGTTTGATGCCCAACTGTTCGGGGGTGAACTGCGCCCCCTCTGCCCGTTGTAAAGCAGACATGTGCCAGCTGGACTCGATCTGTCCGGGCAGAGGG